CGCATATCCTTGTTTATGTGTGCATGTATACATATATGTATTACATGTTTATATATTCATATATGTGTACACATGTACATGTATATATGTGTGTGTGTATCTTTGCTCACTTTTCTGACTATTTTATTATAATTTTTTAATGAATTATTGGATCAAAGGAATTTATTTACTTTTGATAGATTTACTAGATTGCCCTCCAGAAGAATTGTTCTAATTTATCCTCCCCCCAACAGGGTATAAAGTGTCCATTCCTCTCACCTTTGCCAGCTTTGGATATTAGCATATTTTTAATCTTTACCAACATGACAGGAAAAAACCAGTACTTCCATGTTATAGTAGTATATTTTTGATTATTAGAAAGGCTCACAATCATCTTTTTATTTAATAAGTCCTATTATCTTCTATATTCCACTCTGCTCACACAAATCAGACTGCATGCATACAAGAGCTTGTAAAAATCAAGTTAAGGAAGTTCCTTTGTGTTCCTACGTGTTGAGTGATTTTTTTTTCTCATTAAAGGGTATTAGATTTTGTTAAATGATTTTTCTGTGTGTATGGTGATGATCTTTTGCTTCATTCTGTTAATATGGTATAGTACATTCATTGATTTTTATATGGTGAACCACCTTGCATTCCTGGAATAAATCTCACTTGGCTATGGTATATAATCCTTTTAGTTTGATGCTGGATTTGATTTGATGGTATTTTGTTGATGACATATGCATCTATATGCATAAGAGATATTGGTATATAGTTTTCTAGTGATATCTTTGGCTCCAGTAACAGGGTAATTCTGGCCTCATAGAATGAGTTGGGAAGAATTCTCTCCTCTTCTGTTTTTTGAAAGACTTTGAGAAGGACTGGTGTTAATTCTTTATATGTTGGGTAGAGCTCATCATGAAGCCCTCTAGTCCTGGGCTTTTCTTTGCTGGGATTTTTTTGATTACTAATTTAATCTTTTGTTAAAGGTATACTCAGGTTTTTTTTATTTCTGCTTGAGTCAGTTTTGGTACTTTGTGTGTTCCTAGGAATTTCTACATTTTGTTTAGGTTATTTAATTTTTGGCATATAATTGTTCACAGTATTCTTTTATAGTCCTTTTTTATTTCTGTAAGGTTGGTAGTAGGAACTCAGTAATGAATTCACTTTTATTCTTGATTGTAATAGTCTGTCTTCTCTCTTTTCTTGATCAGTTCTAGCAAAAAAATTATCAATTTTGTTGTTCTTTTCAAAGAGTCAACTTTTGGTTTCAGTGAGTTTTCTGAAGTGACTTTATTGTGGTATAATTTCTATACAGTAAACTACACATATTTCAAATGTACGATTTGATGAATTTTGATAGATGTATATACCTATGAAAACACTACCACAATCAAGATACCTAACATTTCCATCATTCCCCAAGAGTCATTGATTCTTTCTCTTGTCTTCTATTCTTTCATTTATCTCTGCTTTAATCTCTATTATTTCCTTTATTTTGTTTGCTTTAGGTTTAGTTTTTTTTTTCTAGATTCTTAAGGTGAAAAGTTAGGTTATTGATTTGAAATCTTTCTTCTTTTTTAATGTAAGTGTTTATAGCTGTAAATTCCCTCTGAACACTGCTCTTGCTGTGTCCAATAAATTTTGGTATGCTTTGTTTTTTAGTTCATCTTAAAATACTTTCTAATTTCCTGTGATTTCTTCTTTGTCCCATTGGTTGATTTCCACATATTTGTGAATTTTCCACAGTATGTTACCGATTTCTTTTTTATTGAAATATAGTTCATGTACAATATTATGTTAGTTTCAGGTATACTACATAGTGATTTGATATTTACATACTTAATGAAATGATCACCACGATAAATCGAGTAACCATCTGTCCCCACACAGTTATTACAGTATTATTGATCATACTCCTTATGCTATATAATACATCCTGTGGCTTATTTATTTTATAACTGGAGGTTTGTACCTCTTTATCCCCTTCACCTATTTTGTCCCTTCCTCTTCCCCCCACCTCCCCTCTGGCAACCACCCATTTGTTCTCTGTATCTGTGAGTCTGTTTTTGTTTTGTTTTGTTTATTTGTTTGTTTTGTTTTTTAGATTCCACATATAAGTGAGATAATATGATATCTGTCTTTCTCTGTCTGACTTATTTCACTTAGCATAATACTCTCTAGATCCATCCATGTTGTTGCAAATGGCAAAATTTCTTTTTTTAAAGGCTGAGTAATATTCTGCTGTATAAATATACCACATCTTCTTTATTTACTCAAATATTAATGGACATTTAGGTTACTTCCATATCTTGGCTATTGTAAATAATGCTGCAATGACCTTTGGTGTGCGCTGTTACCAATTTCTAATTTCGTTTCACTATGGTCAGAGACCATACTTTGTATGATTTCAGTATTTTGTGGTCTAACATAAGATCTGTCCTGGAGAATGTTTATTGTGCCCTTCAGAGGAATATGTATTCTATTGTTGTTGGGTGAAGTGTTCTATAGGTACTGTTAGTTTGGTTAATTTATACTGTTGTTCAAGTTTTCTGTTTCCTTGTTGATCTTCTGTCTAGCTGTTCAGTTCATTGTTGAAAGTGGGATTAATGTCTCCAGCTCTTTTTTTTAAACTATCCATATTTCTCTTCAATTCTGTCATTTTTTTTGCTTCATGTATTTTGGGGCTTTATTATTAGGTATATGAGCAATTTTTAGTTAAATGCTTTGCCCTTAAATAAGGTATCTTTTTCTTTTCTATTAGTGATACAAATAATGCACTATAATCTGAATTTATTAGATTAAGAATAATTGGATGTTCTGAATCATCCTTTTTAAATGTCTACTCTCCAATATGTACTTTACATAACAAAATTTATTTTCTCAAAAAATTTAGTTGTGTGTTTGCTACAGAAAGCTGTTAGTTTTCATTGGCTAGTACCATAAAAAAGAAAATGTTATATAAGAAGATGACAAGTAACATCAGTATACTATAACTGTATAAATATTTGTATGTGTATTTCCCATTTAACCACAATGTTACCAGTAGAGTACTGAAGCCACCTTATGTTCATTCAGTGATGCCATATTGGTAGCTTGAAATTGTATTTCCCATTTAACCACAATGTTACCAGTAGAGTACTGAAGCCACCTTATGTTCATTCAGTGATGCCATATTGGTAGCTTGAATTGCCATATTGGGAGTATTTATACCATAGAAACTGGAAAACGCTACTAAACTGGTAATTCTGTCCCCTGGAGAGCCAGCTGATACACATTTACCAGCATACCACTGCATTACCTCCATTTTTCAGATTAAACACAAAAACAAAAACCTGAGCTTTGATGAGTGGAAATATCCCCCAAATTATTCCGCTACTTAAGTGGTAAAATTAGATAATCAAACACAGTCCGTCTACCTGAAAATATTCTTTCTCCTTAAGTATTCTTATAATCACACATACATTCTTCTTCTCCACCCCAACAGATTGGCTGAAAGTGTTTTTGGATAGTTTCTACAAAATCCGTTATCAACATTTATTTAATAGGATTTGCAACTCTTATTAACGTAAATTATCAGGGAAAATATTTCTATGTACTGGCATTTTAATGATTAAAGATTAAAATATTTTTTTCTACCAAGCAATTGAAGACTTTTCTTTTGGTCTTCTTAATATCATGATATTGGACAACCATTAAATTTAACAAAAATTCTTTTGACAGAGGCTAAGACCTTAGGCAAAGAGATCAAATAACTTAGAAAAGTTTGCTTAGTGCAACACCATTTTATTGGTAGGGATGGAACATGGGAATATTGAGGTCTGGTAGCAATATGCCAGAAAGTAACTTTCCCTCTGAACACTGTTCAAGGCACAAGCATTCTTCAGTTTCTAGAGTCATCCTCCTTGGTCCCCATTACCTGCCTATCCCACAGGCTAAAGGACTGCTTAGTCTTCAAGCTTCTATTACCTTTCATTTTTGCCTCCATTGGGCCAAAAGCCATTACTTGCATTATTACATTGCCTCTCCTGTCACCTCTGCAAGCTTTTCATATGTAATACTATTGCATCTGGGTCCTGGGGTGCACACAGTTTTCTGACAAACGACTGACCTATGCTGAGAATGAAAGATTATGTTATATATATTTTAGGTTCTGCTCTCCTCCGTATACAATTATCATGCCCACTTTTAAGTACAATACCTACACTTTTCAGTTGTCCCAGTTTTACTTTACTGTGTATTTTTCTTTCTGAATGAACTATTCTGTATTTGTTCCTAAAGAACCTCATCCCATTATTTTTGTCTCAATTCTCTTAAACTATTCACACACATTTAAAATCTGCCTCTCCAAAATGTTAGTCTCCCAAACAATTTGGTGACATTAGCAAATTTCATGAGTAAATTTAATTATTTATCTTTCTTTCTAAGTCATTAATAAAATGTAAAAAAAAAAACAGGACTAACTCTCTTGTAACTCTATCCTAAATGCACTTATTCTAGCACTCAGAGAACAAAGGTCACTTTTTAGGTACCACCTCTTACTCAGTAATGTATAATACCAGGGCGGTTACACAGTAAAGATGTGACATGGAACTAAGTAACAAAGCTAAAAATTAAATCAAGACCTAATAAATATAAGGGTTCCATATGAAGATCAAGGACTTAGAGCTGAGCATACCCCTGTATTTTAAGTCCTCTGATACTTTAGAAATTATACACTTAATATAATAATAAAACTTGTATAATGGTATCTGACTTCTTTCGAAGACTTCTAAGGATTTAAAACTGAATTTGTCAGTCCTAATCTAGCTAAATTATTTTTGAGTCCTAATAAATGGTTTTGTTTTGCTATTATTATTAATGTGAAAACAGCTACCATCTTTGAGTCCCTGTGATAGGCTAGATGCTTCAAGTCAGTTATGCTATGGTTTGTATGGTAATTTAACTCACTTGTTTTGCACCAAACCAAAGCTGAAGCCTCCGTGAAATGTTTCATTTCTGAAGATTGCTTCTGATTTCAGTTTGGGACCCACTCTGGAACCTGAGGAAGTGGTAAACAAGCTGATAGATGGGATCCTGACTGAGCAGAAAATGATCTTTGTTCCATCTTCTTTAAGTTTTTTTTCAGTGTTAGAAAAGTAAGTGACAGTTATGTTTGTCAGCATTACACATAAAGATTATCTATTACATGTTTTAATTCAGATTTAAAGTCAGTCGTTTGATAAAGTACAATTAAATGGAATTAAGTTAATAAAAATTAATAGGCTTAAGGAATCCATCCATTTTTAAAACCACATTTGTTAATAATTCAAGCAAGATTGGTATAGCAAATGGGGAAAGAAATTAAATAATTTCCACAAGTTTTAAGTTGTTTTGTTTTGTTTTTAAGAAAGAAATTTGTACATTTCTGGAAGTTTTGTCTTATAAATGAATGAATAGGAAGGAGGATAGTTTTTAATCATTATTACATAATGGAATTATGGGACCGTGATATTGGAGGAGACCATAGTTAGGTTTTAGATAGTCATTTAAATATACAACAGATAATCATTGAGCTCTTTGCAAAGTCATCCTGAAGCATAAGAATTGCTACATAATCTCTTATAATTTTACAGACCTTTAAGCCTTGCTCCTTTAAATGTGGTCCATGGATGAGCAGCATCACCATCACCTGGGAGTTTATTGGAAATGTAGAATCTCCTGATCTCCTGAATCAGAATTTGCATTTTAATAAGACCCACAGGTGATTTGTATGGACATTCGAATTTGAGAAGCATTTCTTTGGAGCAGTAACTCCCAACTTTGGTGCCCACTAGAACTTACCTGGGAGTTTTTAAAATGCTAATTAATGCCTGAGACCTACTCCCTACGATTCTGATTTAATTGGTCTGGAGTGTGGCTTGGTCTCTAAGAGATACAACTTTCTCTGTGATTCTAACATACAGCCAAGATTGGAAACCACTCTTTTAAAGAATGCATAACATATTGCCCCATTACTCTTCTGGGATAGCTGTGTGGCAATGACACTGGTCAGGTAATAGAGGAAAGTGAGGAGGTGCCTTAGGTCAGGGGGGAAAAAAAAGCCTGTTGCTCTCTTACTGCCTGCCTGTCCCTAGAGTCAGGCTTCCCTAGCATGGATCCTTTAGGAAGTCATTTAAAAATAATAGGTTTAGATAATAAAGCTCAAGGATCTTCTTGGAAAATAAATGAGTTAAAACCTATAAAGTGTTTCCCATTATGCTTGTCCCATTATGTAAGTGTTCGGTGATCATGGTCTTTAGAATGTAACTTTCTGAGGGAAGGAATTTTGTCTGGTTTCCATCACTACATCTCCTGAGCTTTGAAGAGTTGATGGACACAGAGGAGGCACCAAAATGTTTGATGGTTAAAGTTTCCCCAGACTTTTATCACAGATGAATCTGTGTTTTTGTGATTTGCTATGTGGACATGGATGAGTTATCTAACTTCTTTGAAGCTCAGTTTCTTCATCTGTTATATGGAGACAACAGGACTTTATAGGCCTGTGAGAAATAAATAAAATGCATTTAAAATGTTCAGCATACTATAAGTAATAAATGCTATATACCAGCATTATTATTATAATTATCACTATTATTAATATTGCCCTGATTTTTGTCTGAATATGAATGTTTGCTGCTCAGTTTCTAAACCTTATTTAACTAATGCCATCTAAGCAGATGTCTGTACATAGTTACACAAGTTTACATACTCTGTTCAGTTTCTCTCAGACTCATTGGAATGTGACAAGTTCCTCAATATACTTAAGGATGGGGTAGGGCGATAAAAATTAACCTACTGTATGTCCATCACCATAAAATTAAGGCACTTTATATTAACACATTGATTAGTTATAAGGACACTGTGGGGGTAAGTGTTAATTGTTTCATTTACCTGTAAGAAATTTAAACTCAAAAGTTAAATAATTTGTTCAGCATTATGCTCAAAAACCAAGTGTATTGTCTTCATTTTCTTTCAGCAATTCTGCGTCCCTAGTCTTTAAATGAAACATTTTAATAGTTTCTGGATTATAAAGTATAAAATTAGTTCCTATTGTTACTTCCCCTCCAGTGTCAGGTTTCTTTTTTTTAAGCTGTTAGTACCTGAACTATTCAGTTCTATACACCTTGTCTCTTAGATCTTTTGAAAAGTATTCGAGTATATTTATTTTGAAGACTATATCTTTCAGGTCACTCCTACCCTAAAGAAGGTTAAACTTTCCTTTTCCTTTTGAAAAGGAAATGTATTTCACTGGAAAGAACATATAGTGGTGACTCAGAGTTAAAGTTCTTAATCTTATTTAAGATGAACATGGACATGATACTTGATAAATATAAGTATTTTTAAAGATATTTTACAAATGCACTTAATATTACTTTCCTAATTATTTCATGTTATCTTTCTTTTAGGACCCTTCCTGAGCGTTTCCTGGCAATTTTAAGACGAAAGATCAATATTAAGTTTGATGCAGTTATTGGATATAAAATTAAAAAACAATAAGTGCTTCGCTTTTTTAAAAAATGATTTACCAGGTGTAAGTTGATTTCATATAATATTAACCAGAATTTTAATGTTTGGACTTCGCTTTTCCTAATTATCATTTTTTTTTTAATACCACCTTTTGAGGCTCCAGCAGGTTCTAATTTCATATAATACACAGAACTATCTTAGGAACCGATCTTATGGAAAGTGGAAGAAAACAAAGAGTTTTACAATAATTTCCAAGATTTTGTAGCTCATGTAAAGGCTTTGCAAAGTTTATACTATTAATGTTTCAGATGTATTTTTATTTTTAATCACTTAAATTTTATATAATTTACATTTCCTTTTCATGAAGGACTATATCTAGTGGCATTTCATAATGAATTTCACGTCATGTAAGAAATATTGCTCAAGCATTTCACCCTACACATTACTACTCTGCTTCCTGAGAAATACCTCACATTCCAATGCCGGACATTTCAGCACAAGGAAACTGGAGATGGACACATGTTGCGAGTATAAAGGCATCATTGAGATTTGAGGCAGAGAATTGGGAGAATGTACACATAAGTGGCAATAATAATAAATGGATCAAATTTAAACTTTTGGTGTTTCTATCTTTTTGTTTTGAACAGAACATAGCTTAACCTTCAAATTAAAGGAAAATAGATTACGTAATCAAGGTCTGTTTTTCTTTTTCTCTTTTTAGTATCTGGAAGTCTGTTTAAGGAAGGTTATACTATAGATTCTATAATATTAGGAAATTTCATCTGAAGGTATCATTTCGACAATACATTTCTCCCTCTTTCCCATCAACTAACCTCTTCTGATACAGAGAATCAAAACACAATTGCTGTTAACCAAATTCTTCATTTAGTTGAGGTAAGTATATATCTGAGTCCCAAAATGCCTGCTTTCCAAAACATCATTATATTTGAATAAAGTAGCACAGAGTCCTCTCCATACTTTGGCTTTGCTAGAGTACCTGCAAGTCACCACAGAGCTTATAGGTGTCCTGGACCATACCATGTTAGCAGAGAATGACATTAGAAGGTGGAGAGTCAGTTATAGTCATCTTCTAACTCATTTTGAAGCAGATTGTGTATTCTTTTGATTAAGTTATACCTGTTGCAGCTTGCCAAGTGGAAGAGTGAAGCAGGCTAGGAGAAAGCCTTTAGTGAAACTTTAGTGAAATAACTGAGGCCCAAAGTGTACTGATAACTTTCCTCTTTTCACAGTAAACATGCTCTGGCTCTTAAGACACTTGTCTAAAATTAACACTTGGATGAATTTTGGTATTAACCATTATGAGAAATAAGTACTTCTTCACTCTTTTGCTTGAATATGCTGACAGAATGGTAATCAGTCCCCTGTACTGAATGTTAGCCACATACTAGGGACAGTTTGCCATTTAATCCCCAGCAGTCCTGTGTCATGCACACTGTTGAAGGACTTGAAATAGCTATGAACACAGCAGTGGTAAGCAGGAACCCAGAAGAACCTCAGAGGCTGGAGCCCTGCTCTGCTGGCAGGTGAATGAATGCTGCAAGGGTTCTGAATATTGTTTTCTGCATTTAAAAAAAATAAAAAAGCTTGCTTCAATTCACCAACATCAGGCAATTACTGCTGTGACTCTAAGTCTGAAAAATTTTAAGTGTTAGTTGAATGACACTAATCCTTACTCTGAACCCACTTCTCAACAGTTTAGTAGGAAAATCCATCTCAGCCATCAGCAGGGCTCCTTGTGAGTGTCACACCAAAATCAAAGAGGCTTACATTGCCTTGGGGTAAGTGGGAAAATACTTCGAATTGTCAGCTGTCATGGTACCCTGTGATCCTAAACTGGGATCTTGATGACTGATGGCTCTCTCCTTTGCAGGATACGGATGTCCTGACTGTGGCAGGGAACCACCCTCCCTGGACATAATCTTAAAACCTTCCTCTGAGCCCTTCCTGTCACCCTGGGGTCCTGCCATGGGACTGCTAGGACTCACCAGCCTCTCTTATATTCCCTTTGAGAATACTTCCATGCTTGCTTCAGAAACACTCTTCCCCACCCTTGTCCCCCACCACCATTCCCATTTGCCAGAAATCTATACTTTTTAATGGAAATGAAAGCATGGAGAATCAAGCCAAGGAAAAGGATAAAAATTGACCCTCAGTACATCTTCAACACCAACTTGGCTAGTGAGTAAATGGCTAATAAGTATTTTACTGTGGGGAAGGGTGCAATTAAGAGCTTCCTCTCCCAGATACGGTGATAGTTTTACTTCCTTGGACAGTTCTGTGTGTGTGTGACTTCATTATCCCCGTCTTACAGATGACTATAGCCCAGAGAGGTCCACCATATACTTACAATCACAGAGCTACTTAGAAGTCACGCTGAGGATTTAAACCCATGTTTGCTGGCCTCACTACCACACAGCTTCAGTGGACTTCTTGGAGAGTTGAACTATATCTCTTAACACCGTCTTCTTCCTTTTACCCAAGATTTCCTTCATATTTAAACAATATTCCAAAATCAGCCAGTGAAAATCTCGGTTGGTAATTTAAACTGTTCAGTCTAGGAATTATTTAAAGGTAGAATAAAATGCTGCAGTGCAGATACCCGATTATTCCACCTAAAAAAAAAATCTAGCCTGGCCTGGCCCAGTATCACCACAGTCTAAAGTTTCCTGAAATTAAACTACTGAGCCTGAAAGTAATTGGGGTAGTCTTAATCTACGCCAGACATCAAATCCTTCCCCAAAATTGATAGGAAATTTCCACTTGACCTGAGAGCCAATCTGACCCCACCAAGTTCTTTTCTTTTTTTTTTTTCTTTTTTTCTTTTTCCTTTTTTTTTTTTTTTTTTTTTTTTTAGTTTGGAAGTGACTGGATCAACTTCAGAACTGAGGAGATGTGCCTTTTACTTTTGTAGTCTTCACTTTAATTAAAGGTACCCTAGTACTGCAAAAAAAAAAAAAGACGAAGAAGAAGAAGCAGCAGCAGCAGCACTGGTTAATCTAATACAAGCTAGCCTTTCTGGAGCCTCAGTTTCTTCATCTATGAGAGAATCAAATTAGATTACATAGTCTCCTAGATTACCTCCAGTTCCAGTTAAATAAATGTTTTAAAATCAACACATACAAAACCTAGCATCTTCTCTACCCCATCCACATTCCCTAAACAGAGAATGCCATTTTTAACAACTAAGCCAGAAACCTGGAGTTATGCTTTCTTCCTACCTTCCCCTCACCCTCATCTCTCACCACACCAAAACCTAATTCCCACCACACACATTCAATATCAATCACCATTCCCACATTTCTATTTCCAGCCTAAGTCTTCCCTCTGAGCACCAGACACATCCAAATGCTTTCTTGCTCTCTCTGCCCGTATGGCCAATAGGCATTTCAAGGTTCTATTGCCAAAAGTGAGCTTTTGATGTTCCAAACCTGCTCCAAACCCCATTACTCCGTTTGCTCAGGCCAAAAAGGTTTGTGTCATCCTTGATTCCCCTCTCTCATTCCCCACATCCATTATGAAAACAATTCTGTTTTTCCTACCTTGAAAATATATCCAGAATTCTATCACCTCTTATCACCCCACTGCTATCATCCTGATCCAAGTCACCATCACCTCTTGTTCCTGTTTTGCTATTCCCAAAACAGCAGCCAGAATGATTTTTTAGAATATGAGATCATGTCATGCTTCAGATCAAAATCCTTCCTTAGCTTCTCATCTAAAACTTAAAGCAACAGTCCTTACCATGACCTACAAGGTGATATGTGGTCCAGTCTTCCTACCTGTTACCTTACTACTTGTATTAGTCAGGGTCCTCCAGAAAAACATAACCAGTAGTAGATTTTATATACATACTTACTGGTAGACAGACAGAAGGTATTTCAAGGGATTGACTCACGTGATTGTGGGAAGCTATCAACCGTGAAAGTTGTTGAGGAGGCTGACAGGCTGGGAAGTCTTGGGCAGAAGTTGATTCTGCAGTTCTGAGGCAGAATTTCTTCTCACTCAGGGTGTCTTAGTTCAGGATGCTATAACAGAATGCCAAATACTGAGTGGCTTGTAAGCAACAGAAAATTATTCTTCACAGTTCTGGAGGCTGGGAAGTCCAAGATCAAGACATCAGCTGATTTGGTGGCTGGTTACCTGCTTGCAGGTTCACAGCCAGCCAGCCTGTCTTCGCACTGTGTCCTCACAGGACAGAAGGGGCAGGGGAGTTCTCTGAGGCCTCTGCTGTATGACCGTAATCGCATTCATGGGGCTTCATCTCCATGACCTAGTCACCTATCGAAGTCCCCAACTTATGATGTGATTTCTCTTGGGTTATGATTCCTCGTCATCTTTTGTGAAACTCATAGGATTTAAGCTATAGTAAGTAATTCAGAATGCAATCACAATGGCAAGTGTCAACTTCGCTATTAGTTGTTTTGAAATATCTAATATAGGACTTCAAATGTGTTAGAGTGATAAATTAAGAGGGTTACTTTAAATAAGGAACCTGTTGGGCAATGTCCATGGAAATATTTCACTGGAACAGAAGGACAGAGACAAGATCTCCCTGGGGCATAACCATTACACCTCACTGGCAGACTCCTTTAAACGAGCCCACTAAGCCGAGCAACTGGCGACTTTTCCTGGAGGACGCAACTCCAGCTGCTGAGAGTTTTTCTAGACCAGCGCTGCCAGAGGCTCTGTCGTCCCGCTCACAGCTTGTTACAGGACCAAAGACCACAGCTCATGCTGAGATGCCTCCCTCCCAGGCTTCTCCTTGGAGGGGCTCGTAACCCCCTTTCCTATTTTCCCTACTTTGACTAACCTGTGTTGTGTGCAAAAACCAAGTGATTTGTGAAATGAATATTAGCTTCATTTTGTGTGTCTCTAATCCTGCGATTCATACCTGGTCTTACCTCTGGGCCCTGTAACAAACACCCGACTTCCAAATACCATGACGCTGGGGATTAGGTTGCAACATGTGAACCTTGGAGGAACTCAAATGTTCAGCCTATAGCACAGAGGAAGCTCAGTTTTTCTTTCAGAGACTTCCAATGGATGGGACACAGCCCATCCACATTATCAAGAATAATTTCCTTTTATTTAAAGACTACTGATTGTAGACGTTAACCACATCTACAAAATATCTTCACAGCAATACTTAGATGAGTGTTTGATTGAATAACTGGAAACTATAGCCTAGCTATGTTGACCTGTAAAACTAGCCATCACTCTACCTTCACTCTCTTTCAGTTCACTCCAGCCACACTGGTCCCTTGATGTTTCTTGGACCCACCAGACATGTACTTATCTCAAGACCTTGTACATTACTCTTTCCTCTCCAGAATCTCTTCTTCCAGATCCACATAGCTAGCTCCCTCTTTCCTTTAAGTCTTTTTCTTTATGTCTTTTCAGAATTTTTCACCCTGTACCTAAAACTGCAATCCTGACTACACAGTCTACACACAAGATTCCATTTCTCCCCCTGTTCTCTGATTTTCTCCTTGGCATTTATCATTACGGAACATACTATACATGTTACTTATTTATGCTCTTTGTTGTCCACATTGCCCCTAGAGCATTAGCTCCCCAAGGGAAGTGATTTTTGTTCACTGCTGTATCCCCAATGCCCAGAATAGCCCATAAAACTTACCAAGTATTTGATATATATTTATTAAAGAAATGCCTATTTCTTATATTATTCTAGCTTGTAAGTATCTCCTTTGCCACCAGCCTCATTCAGACCACTGTCATCTCTGGCCTGGATTACTGAGAAGCCTCCTAACTAGTCTCCCTCCATCTAGTCCTGTCTTTCTTCCAGTACATTCTCCATCCTGCAACATGTCTAAATCTGATGATGGCATTCCCCCACTCAAAACCTTTTACCAGTCTTCACTGAGGCTAAGACTCTGAGAGACTGAGTCTTTGCTGTGCTCTCTATCTTCTCTCTACCCAACACTCTGTTCTCCAAGGGAGAACTTCCTATTCCTTGAATATACCATGACCTCACCTCGAGTGCCTGCACATGTGATTTCCTATACCTGGAACATTCCTATCCCCTTCATCATCTAGCTAACCCCTGCTCACCCTTTAGGTCCCATCTATGGCTCACCTCCCACCCCATCATCAGGACTGGGTGATGTGCCCTTTCTGTGAGCTCACAAAACTCCTTATATTTAGGACTGTCATAGCATCTTGTACCAGGTGAAGAGTAAAAGGGCAATTATACTCCTAGGGAAATGAGTAGCCAGAAAACAGAGGCAACCACTGTAGATTAAACTTGACAGTAAGATATGAAAGACAGGATGGCAAACAGGGATGAGGTGGGTAAAAATTTCACTGAGTATTTTTATGATGGAAGAGATCCAAAAATAGTTGAAAGCAAAAGAGACAGGTCCTTGGTAGACAGGAATAGTGGAATTGATAGGGAAATAAAAATAATGAGGGGAATCAGGAAAGGAAGATTGAGTAGCAGATTACAGAGATCAGGACTCTTCCTTTGCTAGTCCAGGGAAAGAAGTAGGATAGATGTGTGGAGAGGAAGAGAGGGGTTTTATAAACCAGAAATACACTGAGGCTATATGTGAGGTGTGAATTGGGGGGTTGTTTGGTTAGATAGATACTAGGCTTTGCAGCCTCAGGTTGGAGTTTATATGACCTTTAAGACTACCTGATACTGCTTTAACGATTTGGCAGTACACAGAACACCTGAACTAATGAAACCCCCCAGAGAGGAGGAAGAAATTTTCATTTGAAGAGATCATATTCCTAAGCTTCTACTTGGCAGGTAATTACAGACTAAACAAACAGTGGATCAAAATAATGTGCATAAATCCTATAACCTCCTCTTTTTATGGTCTCAAAGTAATAATGCCTTAGTGTCAACTTTCTTTTTTTTTCCGTTTTATTAGGTAGAATTGTTACAATTTGACTGTACATATAAATACAAATACACAATATTGCATGTAAATACAAATACACAATATACTGCACATATTTTTAAATTTACACATATGTACTGTTTATTGTTTTTAAGAAAGTTTAGAGCTTTAGCTTTTAAACTTATATAGTTATCAAAGGCATAAAGCCAACCACAAAATAAGAATTAATTTAAAAAGATACATACACCCCACTATTAACAGCAACATTATTTATAATTGCTGAGATACAGAAGCATCCTAAGTGTACATCAATAGATGAATGGATAAAGAATATGCAGCGTATATACGTAATGGAACACAACTCACCAATAAGAAAGAAGGATGTTTTGCCATTTGTAGCCCTTCATTCACCTTTTTTTTTTTCACTTCAAAAACCAGAATTTTATAACTGGCATAAACATTTCCAGTGCATCAAAAATAGCAAAATATCTTTCTCTTACTAATTTTAATATTTTCTCCTTATCCTTGATATTTGTCAGTTTGATTACTACATACCTTGGCATGTTCCTCTTTGGGTTGATCCTGTGTGGAACTCTCTGCACTTCTTGGACTTGGGTGACTGTTTCCTTTGCCAGGTTGGGGAAGTTTTCAGTTATTATCTCTCCAAAATTTTTCTCAGGTTCTTTCTCTCTCTCTTCTCTTTCTAGAACCCCTATTAAGTGAATATTAGCATGCTTCATGTGTCAAGCAAGGGGCAGATTCTATGCTTCTAGCATTGTTGAGTTCTCTTAAGCTATCCTCATTTCTTTTCATTCTTTTTTCTTTTTTCTGTTCTGCAGTAGTGATTTCCACTAATCTGTCTTCTAGCTCATTGATTCATTCTTCTGCGTCATTTAGTCTATTGTTGGTTCCTTCTAGTGTAATACTCGTTTCAGTGATTTTATTTTTCAACTCTGTTTTGGTATTCTTTATATTTTCCAACTCTTAGCTAAAAACTTCACTCTGTACATCTATACTCCTCTTGAGTTCTCTGAACATCTTCACCATCATTACTTTAAACTCTTTCTCGATAAATTGCCTATCTCTTCATT